GGGTTGAGGTCTGGAGACTGGCTAGGCCACTCCAGGACTTTCAAATGCTTCTTACGGAGCCACTCCTTTGTTGCCCGGGCGGTGTGTTTTGGATCATTGTCATGTTGGAAGACCCAGCCTCGTTTCATCTTCAAAGTTCTCACTGATGGAAGGAGGTTTTGGCTCAAAATCTCACGATACATGGCCCCATTCATTCTGTCCTTAACACGGATCAGTCGTCCTGTCCCCTTGGCAGAAAAACAGCCCCATAGCATGATGTTTCCACCCCCATGCTTCACAGTAGGTATGGTGTTCTTGGGATGCAACTCAGTATTCTTCTTCCTCCAAACACGACGAGTTGAGTTTATACCAAAAAGTTCTACTTTGGTTTCATCTGACCACATGACATTCTCCCAATCCTCTGCTGTATCATCCATGTGCTCTCTGGCAAACTTCAGACGGGCCTGGACATGCACTGGCTTCAGCAGCGGAACACGTCTGGCACTGCGGGATTTGATTCCCTGCCGTTGTAGTGTGTTTCTGATGGTGACCTTTGTTACTTTGGTCCCAGCTCTCTGCAGGTCATTCACCAGGTCCCCCCGTGTGGTTCTGGGATCTTTGCTCACCGTTCTCATGATCATTTTGACCCCACGGGATGAGATCTTGCGTGGAGCCCCAGATCGAGGGAGATTATCAGTGGTCTTGTATGTCTTCCATTTTCTGATGATTGCTCCCACAGTTGATTTTTTCACACCAAGCTGCTTGCCTATTGTAGATTCAGTCTTCCCAGTCTGGTGCAGGTCTACAATACTTTTCCTGGTGTCCTTCGAAAGCTCTTTGGTCTTGGCCATGGCGGAGTTTGGAGTCTGACTGTTTGAGGCTGTGGACAGGTGTCTTTTATACAGATGATGAGTTCAAACAGGTGCCATTCATACAGGTAACGAGTGGGGGACAGAAAAGCTTCTTACAGAAGACGTTACAGGTCTGTGAGAGCCAGAGATTTTCCTTGTTTGAGGTGACCAAATACTTATTTTCCACCCTGATTTACGAATAAATTCTTTACAAATCCTACCATGTGAATTCATGGATTTTTTTTTCACATTCTGTCTCTCACAGTTGAAGTGTACCTCTGGTGCAAATTACTGACCTCTGTCATCATTTTAGGTGGGGGAACTTGCACAATCGGTGGCTGACTAAATACTTTTTTGCCCCACTGTATCTTGTACCTAGTGTTTCTTTTTAGGTTTGTTATTTTTCAAATTCTACATTTATTACATTATGCAGCTTGTTTGCACAACAAGGCTAAATAATTATATAAACTTTTCTTAGTCTAAATAGTGGACTTTGGTAGAATTAAAAAACAAGTGTAGTGCAGGTCTATGATGATTTTAGTGCTACTATCATCTAGTTCTGATTCTGGTTCTGTCTTGGTTAAGTCCTCAGTAGTCCTGACTTTGAACTGTTGTAATCCTGTCTTAATTCCAGATCAGTTCTGGGTCTGGTTGAATTGGGGTTTAGTCCTCGTGTCTTGATACAGCCCTGACCTTGTTCTGCTTTGCTGCTTAATTAAAAAACTAGTTTAAGGTGTCCTGCATATGTGATACATATTTTTCCCTATATCAAGTCATTCTTTTTTGAACAAAACTCAAAACAGAGCCTATTAATCTTTCAGTCATTTCTGCCCCCCCCCCCAAACAAAAAAAAAAAAATCCCACATGCATACTACCCTTTTGGACTAAGCCCCGGGTGTTTCAAATATCTGGCTCCGCCTCTGCTGTAGCTCTGCTCTAAAAGAACGTACGTACCTGGACCCGCCTACTATCCTCGGAAACGTAAAATGATTGGCTAGAATCTAAAGTGTATCACAGCTCAGGAAAAAATAAAGCACCGAAATGTGCGCTGCTTTTCGGTCTGGTTACTACCGTTTATGACAGAACCGGTGCCATCATGGCACCGGATACCGGTACCCATCCCTAGTTGGCAGTCAGGTATCTAACTATGAAACAAATTACACTCCAAAAGACCCTGGGCTCAGCAGTGTGGGGAAGAGGAGGAGGAAGAGCCAGCAGCAGCTGACAGATGGAGAGAACAGTCAGACTGTTCCTTGTTTGTGAAGGACTGCTAGAAAGTCGAAGGAGTTTGCAAAGAAAAGCGTCTGGACTTCTTTAAGTTACTTGAAGACGTTTCACCTCTCATCCGAGAAGCTTCTTCAGTTCTAAGGTCAAATGGTGGAGAGTCCCAGATATAAACCTAGTGGGAGTAACCCCCCACAGAGGGACAAAAGGACCCCTGATGATCCTCTAATCGCCTGAGACAAGGTGTTAAACTGGGTGTGGGACCCAATCCGCCAGAGTTTCGGGTAAGTTCATTGTGAAACCTGGCCCCACCTTATCATGCGAATTCCTGAGATCAGATGGCCCAGGATGTGAGTGGGCATTAAGGCGTCTGGGAAGGGATCTCAAAACTGGATTATAGATGGCAGAGAGTTGGTGTCGTAAACCCCTGCCTCTGTTCAAAGATGGTCGCTCACAGTGGACATAGATGGCTTCTTTCACTCCTCTTTCAAACCATCTGTCCTCTCTGTCCAAAATGTGAACATTGGCATCCTCGAAAGAGTGTCCTTTATCCTTAAGATGCAGATGGACTGCTGAGTCTTGTCCTGTGGAGGTGGCTCTTCTATGTTGTGCCATGCGCTTGTGAAGTGGCTGTTTGGTCTCTCCAATGTAGAGGTCAGTAAATTAGGCAGTAAATTTTAATGCCTACTTCTATGTTTTTCAGTTAGTGAGCATTTACAATGTAAATAGTCATGAAAATGAAGAGTGTGTGTCTGTGTGTATGTGTGTGCATGTGTGCGTACAACACACAAACCACGAACAACCTTATAGCTGATATAGTTTATATACAAGAAATACTCCCCACAGTGCTCCATTAAGTGTAAAATAAGTATCTGGACCCTCCATCTTTCATGTGTGGATATGCGCTGGTGTTCTTCAAGACTGGCAACCAAAGATTCTCCCCTTCAAAATAATTAAACATGTCATTTAACGTTTATCTTGGCTTTACATTTCAGCAAAAACATTTGACAGTAACACATTCCCTTATTCACAGGTTTTTGTTTAGGAACAAAAGCATATTTACAGTTTTCCCTTTAAATCTGCACCGTTTTTTGCTCACATCCTCTCCTGCTTTTGAAAAGATTCTCTCTTTAGGTACAGAAGAAGCAACAATTCCTAGGTATCTCACTGCAAGTCTGCTTAGGGATGGGAAGGCTTGTTCATGCTCTTGCCACCAAACCAATGGATCTTTATTTCAGGGAATTAGGTTTTCCTCTGAGTACCGGCGTATTTTAATTAGTACATCACTGAAAGCTGACAGGTGATGTTGGCTTGACACAACCTGCATGTCAAAATCTGTCCTTTTGTTGCAGCAGGACCTTCGGGTGGAGGACTCGGGATAGACCCTGAAGTAGAAGGCCCTGAGACAGAACCAACAGTAGGTGTTGAGCTTACAGTTAAGAGTGGGAGCATGAGAGTGACACAAGTGGAATAATTTTGGAGACTTAAACATGTTTTTCAGATTAAACTTCCTGTGTTACTTCTTCATCAACTGTTTCCTTAATCAGGGATAATTTTCCCACATTTAAGCACAATGCATTCTTCCCTAAAAGCTAGGCTGTGGTCACGGCTTTATTTTGCACACAGATCCACTCCAACATGTAAAAGACAGAGTTCCAGCAGGTATCTACTGACTGAATTAGCTTGTGTTCTGAAATTTTCAACTGCTGAATATCCTTGAGCTTCTTTGTGCTGTGGTGAAAAAAGGACACGACTGCATTTTTCCAGCACCTGCACCACTTCTGGGACAGCTTTGACACTGTCTTTTACAACTAAATTCAGTGTGTGTGCAAAACATGTATGATGCCTCCATCCAGCTTTATGAACTGCAGCAGCTATATTTGCACCATTGTCTGTGACAACTGCAATCACCTTCTCAGTTATGCCCCATTCTTCTGTGATTTGCTTATGTGCTGAGCTGATATCATCTGATGGTAAATGGTAATGGTAAATGACCTGCATTTGTATAGCGCTTTTCTAGTCCATAGGACCCCAAAGCGCTTTACACTACATTCAGTCATTCACCCATTCACACACACATTCACGATAGCAAGCTACATTATAGCCACAGCTGCCCTGGGGCGCACTGACAGAGGCAAGGCTGCCAGACACTGGCGCCACCGGGCCCTCTGACCACCACCATAGGCAACGGGTGAAGTGTCTTGCCCAAGGACACAATGACCAAGACTGTCCAAGCCGGGGCTCGAACCCGCAACCTTCTGATTACAAGACAAACTCCCAACTCTTGAGCCACAATCGCCTAAGCAGAAAGGAATTGATAGTTTACATATACTTGCTGTTTTATATAGAATGCAGTGTGAATGAAATTGTCAGTATAATACATAATTATAAAAATAATAACAAAGCTGATAAAATTGGCAGATAAAATTGCAAAACATACTGTTAAAGGAGATCAGATACATTTAAATATCAGTATTAGCAAAGCAGAAATGGAGAGCATGATAATTCACAGAAAATGAGGAAAAGATGGTAGCGGTGGGAGGAGGAGAGGACAAGGGGGTGGTTTTATTCTATTCAAAGGAAAACAGGACACATAAGAAGTACAGAGAGCACCAGGAGAGAGGAGATTAATTTTTGGACACACTGGGTTAAACTGTAAACTATTCATTACAGGGATACATCAAGGGGGGAAATGTAGTCGCTGTGGAATAAATGACAAACATAGAACATGTTCTGTTGCACTCTGAAATAGATCAGGAAGAAAGAAGTTATATAATTTAAAACCAGGGGGGAAAACAAGATTAAGCAAGATATAAAGGATTTTTGAAAAGGAAATCCAGATGTGAAAGTTTTGGGGGGCTTTATTAGCCTGTTTCTAAAACAGGCTGATTTGTATGGAAGGATACGAGGATGTATATATAGAATAGAATAGAATAGAATACTTTTATTTGTCAATTTCTTCAAATGTACTTGCCATACAAAGGAATTGAAATTACGTTTCACACTGTCCCATGCGTAGACATTGACAACAATAAGGTGCAGATGCACAAAAAAAAAAAAAAAAAAAAAAACAGCCCTAACAATAAAGTAATAAATAGTAATATAATAATATAAATAATATAAACAGTGCCAAAAGAAATACCAAAAATATATATATAGCTGCAGGTGTGTGCAATTGCAATGCAAGTCAGGAATGTTTTCAGTTCCCGGTTCAGAGAGTGTTTCCTTGCTGGAGAGTGTGCGTGGGTGAGGGGGAGTAGAGTCCAATCTGTCTTCCTATACTTCTGCCAATCTGGTGATTCTGCTGGCTGGGAGTCGGGAGGGAAGAGAGTTCAGCAGTCTCACAGCCTGGTGGATGAAGCTGTTGGTGAGCCTGGTAGTGCGGGAGTGGAGACTTCTGTATCTCTTTCCAGAGGGCAGGAGGCTGAACAGACAGTGCGCGGGGTGGTATATGCGGTAGTATTCATCTATTTATTTTTATTTTTATTTTTTTTATTAGTGTTATTATTTGGTATGAGCGAATCATGAACAAACTCCAAACCAGTTGGTGGCGGTATTACACCACATCCTTGTTTGCCAACGTTTGTTGCCAACCGCCGACAAACCACAAAGACGAAGAAGACGTAGTGCGCGTGCCCGCCCAGAGCACAAAGTAGGCCTTCAGAAGAAAGAGTGTAACCACAGTCATCATACTTGTTATCAAGGAGTTTGAGGTTTTTTTCAAGCCGACTGAGGCAAATATTGTGTGGGCTGTACTGAGCTTCCTTACTGCTGCCCCTCTGGTCTCCGGCAGATCACGTTTCTGTTTCTCATGCGTAATTGGAAACATATACGCTCTCGTAGCTCGGACAGCTTGGTCTCTTTGCAAGGTAGCCATTAACATGGGAGGAGAGTGAGCCAGCTGTCTTTACTAGTCCTAGTCCAACTACAAAGCCGGCCTTCTCCGCTGGGGTATCTTTAGTTCGGGTTATTCTGAGAGGGGGTCGAGGGTGAGTACATTATAATCATATTAGTTGCCTCACTCGATAACTGTCTACAGGGTTTCTCTCTCTTAGCTAATTTTGTTTTCGGCTGTACGTTCCGTTCAGCCCCTGTCATTTTGTCTGCTTGGAGCTTCCAGCAGGACCTTGTTTTTTTTTAATCGTTTGTGTTCAGCTATTTGTTTTCCTTCAAATGAAGATGTTGTACTGAGTATTATGATTTGATGAGGTGGATAGAATACAACAGACTCAACATTTAATAACAGAATCACCAACCAGTAATGTGTCTTTTAAGATGACGCTGTTCTAGCGGCAGGCTGTTGTAGCAGCTCCCTGTCTTCGTAAGCTCAGTGAGTGCATGTTGTTTGTTGTATATTTCCTGCTATGACAACTTAGTTTTCCTCTGGGATTAATAAGGTTTTTCTGATTCTGATGTTGGTGCTGAACCTACGAGGCAAAATAATGCTACACAATACAATGGTCTGCAGTAGTGCCCTACAATAATTTTAACTGGATTAAAAAATAAAAATCTTTTTGCTGTCGCAGGTGACTGGCAGGAGGCGAAGAGTCTGCTGGAGCAGCATCTCAGCACCTGTAGTCAGAAACATTGGTTCTTCATCAAAGGTGACAAAGAAAAATCACCAACATTATTCTACAGACATTAATCTGTAATTATTTTGATTATTATTAATAATAATAACATCTAATTCTGTACACACTGACATTTTGCCTGTCTTTCCCAAATGAGAGACAGATCACTGCTGAAGAAAAATTTCGTAAAGCAACTAGAATATCTTAATGACTAGGGATGGGTATTGATAAGATTTTCACGATTCCGATTCCATTTTCGATTCTGTTTAACGATTCGATTCTTTATCGATTCTCTTATCGATTCTTTTTAAAAAAGGAGAACACTAAGGTCGATTAGCTTAGAACTTTGTTTTATATCTTCTCGTTGAACAAGATAGAAATTTAGGAGTAACACGGCCTTACAAACCCAACAGCGAGATAAGAGATCCACAGCCTACGGCTTTTCAATGGGCACAGGGTCCCCAGGAAAAAAAATTGTAAATGTAAAATAATAAAATAAATATTCTTCTGTAGCAATTACACAAGAATATCCAGTAATGTCCCTGCCTACAATTAAACACATTCACATACCGAAAATTGGGGGCATCTGCTGTGGCAAATGGGTTCAAGCCTTTTACCACAAACTTAGTCACTGCTCGGTGACATTCGTCTATCCTGGCCTGAAAGGAGACGCTACCGGTAGACTGCAGTGAGAACTGCCAGCATCTGAGCCAGACTCTGTCTGTCTCTCTCATCATGGTCACCTAAATGCACAGTAATGGCAGGTTTTGTAATAAGGCAGATCGCGCTAACATAATATGCACTGTTAGTTGATTATTTACCTGCCGTATTAACGGGAGAGGACGTGCAAACTTTACCGCTGCTGGGTTGAGATTCACGAGTCTGGAGCGGAATTAAAACCACGACATTCATTTAAGACAGGGGTGCCCAATCCCGGTCCTCGAGAGCTACCGTCCTGCAGCTTTTAGATGCATCCTTGTTCCCACACACCCGAATCAAATGAATGGCTTGTTATCAGGCCTTTGCCAAACACGATGGCATGCTGAAGAGGTAATCAAACCATGTGATTCAGTTGTGTTGGAGTAGGGATGCATCTAAAATCTGCAGGATAGTAGCTCTCGAGGACCGGGATTGGGCAGCCCTGATTTAAGGTCATCGCGTGTTTTGTGAGCAAATGCTTTTGCATATTCGTAGTGTTTCCTCCTCAAGTCAAGTCAAGTTGGCTTTATTGTCACTTCAACCATATACAGTTTAACAGTACACAGTGAGGCGAAACAACGTTCCTCCAGGAACCAAGGTGCTACATGCAACATAAATTTACAACATAAATTAACAGAAAACACTAAACTAGCTAACTATTTCTAAATGAAATATCTACTTTGCAAGTATTGCAAGTTGCCCTGTTGTCATCCGTTCTCGTAAAGTATAACCAAACTTTTGAGCGTTTGAGCCGCTTAGGCGCGGTGATTCCTGCCAGGTAAATGACGCTCCGCAACATGGTGACGTCATTCGGGGCGACTGGAATCAATAATGGAATCGTTTGCAAAAATGGCAAACAATTCCAAGGAATTGAAACAGTGGTAACCAGTTCTCAACAAGAACTGGGTTTTGATACCCATCGCTATTAATGACTTGTTTGTAATTGTTCATTTGTCTGTGAAATACTTGTAAAACATTGTTTATATTTAAAAATGTATATTTATGGTATGTACTCATCAGTTTTCAGAACGAGTCATTCCACAGAAACAGCTCAATTCAATGAGGTCATTATTCAGTTAGTTTACCAGGTCAGGTTCTCAACCTGCTTTCATTAAAAGGAAACCCGACTATTATGACAAGTTACTCAAAATATGTTACAAATTATCTCCACTACACAAAAAACATACTTGAGAATAACTACAATTTTTTTTTTTTTTTTTATTCATTAAATCTTTGTTGTTTAAAACTATTTTGAAGCCGTTGGAGCGGCCATGTTTTTTGGGACGATGACATGTATTGGTTGTCCGCAGTATAAGTGCTTTCGTTCAGCTAACCTGTTTTGTTTTTTAAAGTGTATCAACTGTATTAATTAACTTGCCTATTAGTGACCTGGTTATGACTTGGTAGACCAGCACTATCCAGTCTTTATGTCTGATGTCATTAGCCATGTCTGGGCCCAAACTCTGGTGCAGGTCCCAAAGTCAAATGACCACTGCAGCCTTACTGAGAGCTGAAAAACTGTCTAAATTCTTTCACCATCAATAAAAAGATGAGTGTGGCTGTTCTACCAGGTGTAACAATTAAGTTTAACATCCATGAACACGGAATTTATGACATTTAACTAAGTTAGAAGTTACCAAGGAGTTAACTCGCTTGCTTCCATCTAAATATAATAAATGTTCTGACTGAGGGATTTGTGAACCAAATTAACAGCTCTGTTATCACTTCCAACATAAATGACAAAAGGAAAGTAAACATCAGCATCTGGTATACAGACATGGAAAAAATTGTTGGTACCCTTTGGTCAATGAAAGAAAATCTCACAATGGTCACAGAAATAACTTTAATCTGACAAAAGTAATAATAAATAAAAATTCTATAAATCTTAACCAATGAAAGTCAGATATTGCTTTTCAACTATGCTTCAACTGAATTATTTAAAAAATAAATTCATGAAACAGGCCAAGACAAAAATGATGGTACCCACAACTTAATATTTTGCAGCACAACCTTTTGACTCAATCACTGCAATCAAACGATTCCTGTAACTGTCAATGAGACTTCTGCACCTCTCAGCAGGTATTTTGGCCCACTTGAAGGGCGCCGTTTCCAGACTGCATGTTTCAGCTCCTTCCAAAGATGCTCAATAGGGTTGAGGTCAGGGCTCATAGAAGTCCACTTCAAAATAGTCCAATGTTTCCTTCTTTGCCATTCTTGGGTGTTTGTGTGTTTTGGGTCATTGTCCTACTGTAAGACAAATGACCTGCGACTGAGACCAAGCCTTCTGACACTGGCCAGCACATTTCTCTCCAGAATCCCTTGATATTCTTGAGATTTCATTGTACCCTGCACAGATTCAAGATACCCTGTGCCAGATGCAGCAAAGCAGCCCCAGAACATAACCGAGCCTCCCCCATGTTTCACAGTTGGGACAGTGTTCTTTTCTTGATATGCTTCATTTTTCTGTCAGTGAACATCGAGCTGATGTGCCTTGACAAAAAGTTCAATTTTTGTCTCATCTGTCCAGAGGACATTCTCCCAGAAGCTTTGTTGCTTGTCAACATGTAGTTTGATATATTCCAGTCTGGCTTTTTTATAATTTGTTTTCAACAATGGAGTCCTCTTTGGTTGTCTCCCATGTAGCCCAATTTGGCTCAAACAATGACAGGTGGTGTGACCTGACACTGATGTTCCTTGAGTATGAATTTTAGCTTGGATCTCTTTAGAAGCCTTTCTTGGCTCTTTTGTTACCATTGAGATTATCCGTCTCTTTGATCTGTCATCAATTTTCCTCCTGCGGCCATGTCCAGGGAGGTTTGCTACGGTACAATGGATCTGCAATTTCTGAATAATAGGTGCAAGTGTAGTCACAGGAACATCTAGCTGCTTGGAGGTTGTCTTATAGGCTTTACCTTTAACATGCCTGTCTATGATTTTCTTTCTAATCTCCTGAGACAACTCTTTCCTTTGCTTCCTCTGGTCCATGGTGAGTGGGATACACACCATGTCATCAATCAACACACTGAGTCCTATATATAGGCCCACTGACTGATTACAAGATTGGACACACCATGGATTAACATGTCCCTTTGGTCACATTATTTTCATTTTTTTCTAAGGGTACCATTATTTTTGTCCAGGCCTGTTTCATGCATTTATTTTTTAAAGTAATTCAGCTGACTTTCACTGGTTAAGATTTATAAAAAAAAAACTTTATTATTACTTTTGTCAGATTAAAGTTATTTTTGACCATTGTGAGTTTTTCTTACATTGACCGAAGGGTACCAACAATTTTGTCCACGTCTGTATATAAGTATGTAGATGTATATAGATGCGTAAATGCATATGTGGATTTTCTTTCTTGGAAGTATGGTCTTAATTTGAAGTAAGGTTCTAAGAATGCAATGTGGCGTCATATGTACACTTTGTAGGTTTGGTCATTCCATAACTGCATGTGACTGTTTTGGTTCTTTGTCATTGTAGGCGAAAGAATGGAAAGCATGTCGAAACCTCGGTCCATTGATGATTGCAACATAACCCAACCAGTTCCTGCAAGTAAAGATGAACCTGTTGTGATCCCTGTGGAGAAGACTTCTACCACTATGAAGCAGGAGAGAAGACGACAGCGCATTGACAGTGGGAACAGAAGCCTTACATGCGATCAGTGTGGAAAGGCTTTTACTCGTAATAGCAGTTTAAAAATACATCAGCTCGTCCACACTGGCATTAAACCATTCAGCTGTGATCAGTGTGGAAGGGCTTTCACTCAGAGTAGCAGCTTAAAAAAACATCAGCTCATCCACACTGGATTTAAACCATTCAGCTGTGATCTGTGTGGAATGTCTTTTTCTGACAATGGCAAATTAAAAAGACATCAACTCGTTCACACTGGCATTAAACCATTCAGTTGCGATCAGTGTGGACAGGCTTTCACTCATAATAGCAAGTTAAAAAAACATCAGCTCATCCACACTGGATTAAAAGCATTCAGCTGTGATCAGTGTGGAATGTCTTTTACTGTAAATGGCAATTTAAAACAACATCAGCTCGCTCACACTGGATTTAAACCATTCAGCTGTGATCAATGTGACAGGGCTTTCACTCAGAGTGGCAGTTTAAAAAAACATCAGCTCATCCACACTGGATTTAAACCATTCAGATGTGATCAATGTGGCAGGGCTTTCACTCAAAGTGGAAGCTTAAAAAGACATCAGCTCATCCACACTGGATTGAAAGCATTTAGTTGTGATCAGTGTGGAAAGACCTTCACTGAGAATGGCAACTTAAAACAACATCGGCTCGCTCACACTGGATTTAAACCATTCAGCTGTGATCAATGTGACAGGGCTTTCACTCAGAGTGGCAGCTTAAAAAAACATCAGCTCATCCACACTGGATTGAAACCATTCATCTGTGATCAGTGTGGAAAATCTTTTACTCTGCATACAACCTTAAAAGAACATCAGGCCATCCACACTGGCATTAAACCATTTGTCTGTTGTCAGTGTGGAAAGGGTTTTGGTCGCATGGATACTTTAAGAAATCATCAACTAATCCACACTGGAGTTAATTCATTTTTAAGCAGTCAGTGCTAAAAGGCTGTTACTTCTATGTACACATTCAAAAAAAATCTGATCGTTCACACTGCAATTATAGTGTGTGTTGAATTATGGTAATTGTGAAATTTGTGGAAAGTCTTTCATTTATAACAAATATTATTGAGTCATCAGAAAATCCACACTATATGTCGTGCTATGACAAAACTGGCAGACCAATGTGACATTGCTCTGACAAAGTTCTTTTGGACGTCCTGGTCAATCATCTTAACCTCCTAAGACCCGAACTCTTCCACGGCATGCATTTTTAATTTCTCTTTGATATTTGGGCATATTGGGGCCCAAGAACATCAAAAGAAAGAATTACCAGATTTTTTTTTCTTTTTTTACCTTATTTTTGTTTTTAAGAAAAATAAGAGCCACATATGAGGATATTCATTTACAATTTTGATAGAACAGTAGCAGTATAATGTCCTCGTAAGTGGATATCAGGCCCTTGTAAAGCAAAATTTAGTATTTTGGTCTAAATAACCCAAAATGTGATGTCCACATATGTGGATGCCATGTCCTAGGAGGTTAAGTTTAAGATTGCAGACTCCTATAACTGTCATAGTACTGGGTCTTGACCCAGTGTTTTGTGCTTTGGGGCATTGGCGGTTTCTAGCTTCAGTTTTATTGAATATTGTAATATTTAGTGTTTATTTCTATTTCTGTTCTTGTATTTGTTCTTCTGCTTTATGTAATATTTGTAATTTCTAGTCTTTAGGTTCTGTTATCATATCTTCCCTCTGATAGGTTTGTAGCATAAACCTATTTGCTGGAACGTTCAAGACACAAGCAGGTAAAGTTCTTTATGATTCTTGTGCACGGGAGAGAACTGGACAAGCGCCATTCCTTCGCCCGACTCCAGTTGCTCTCGTCTGCTCCCTCGTAACACTGCTCTTTTATTGAGGTTACATGAATATGCATAGGCTCATTAACACATGATGTCTTACGTAGGTATATATGTGAACAAAGAGTACTGTCTGTGTGTGTGTGAGTAGGTATGTGTGTGTGTGTAAGTGTGTGTGTGTGGGGTCAGAATGTGACCCCATAAACGACTTCCCTAAACCTGCTGGTCTGGAAGTCCAGCAGTCCATCTAAACACAAGGCACTTATACTAAAACAGATATAGATGTGTTTATCCTACCATGAAACAATAAAAGAAGGTACGATCTCTCCCATGCTCCCAGGATGTGGGTGTGAATGCCAGAACACTCTGGAGAGCACACAAAGCCTTGTAGACTACTAAGGATCAGACCCCTATCAATATGACATCGATTATAAACCTTAAGCATATATGAGTAAATATTTCTAAGCTTAAATGACAATCAACAATATAAACCTGACACCCTCTTTTTCACATTGTTTTATCAACCTTTTCTCCAAGTTTGTTTTACTTTCAAGTTTTAATTTTATTCGCCACATGCACAGTCATACAAACTACGATATGCAATGAAATGCTTGTGTCTGAACTGCGTTTGGTGTTGCTCTTCTGTCTTCCCAGTTTGCCCTTTTCCCAGCTTAGTTTCTTAGTTTTAGTTTCTGTGTTCAGCAGTTGGGACATACCTATTCTTGTTTCATCATTATTATGTTCCTAATGAAACCTCCAGTTCTTGGGTTGTGTATGTGTGTGGTTTTGTTTATTAGTGTTTTTGTATGTTTTGGTGTTTGAGAGTATTTTTTTACTACAACAATAAATCTGCCTCTTTGTGTTTATTTCCCTGTCTGTGAGTCCTTTCTTCTGTCTGTCACTCAGTACCATCATGACAATACTAACTTGAGAGGACCGTATTCTGACCGTGGTTGTTAAGGCGTCTGGCAAGGGATCTCAAAATTGGATTAGAAATGGCAGACAGTTGGTGTCGTAAACCATCTCTTCTGTTCAAAGATAATTATTCACAGTGGACGTAGGTGGCTTCTTTCACTCCTCTTTCAAACCATCTGTCTTCTCTGTCCAAAATGTGAACATTGGCATCCTCGAGTGACCTTTGTCCTTTAGATGGAGATGGACAGCCTAATCTTGTTCCATTGAGGTGGCTCTTCTATGTTGTGACATGCATTTATGAAGTGGTTGTTTGGTCTATCCAATGTAGAGGTCTGGGAATTCCTCGCTACACTACTGCATACACTATTGTAGAGCTGGGCGATATGAGATTTTTTCATATCACGATATGTTTTTTTCATTTCAGGCGATAACGATATCTATCACGATATAAGCCAAATAACTATATTTGTAAGATTTAAATGTGCCGTTGCTCACAAGTAAAATGTGAAATTATCAGCAGCTTGTTTTTAAATATTTATTTCCCATAATAAGTTCAACAGGGTAGATGTACTTAAGGAACATGAGACTTTTTCAGATAGATAAAGGCAAATATTGCAAACTACACAAAAGGCAGCCGCTAAAGCGTTTAAGTTTCAAAATAGAACAAATGAAACAGACTAAATTGTCAATTCCACTTAGAAATAAAGTATTAATTCTAAAAATAAATCTTAGTTTGTTTTACAGAAGAACAGACAAAACTAACTTTTGTCAATATCAAATAAACTGAGAACTAAAAGGAAATTCTCAATCTCTCCTTGTTGTATAGCTGAGCTTTTCAAACACTTTTAACAGTTACTTTAGTCTGACAAAAGCCGAATGACGAATTAGCGCTTCCAGTCAGAGACTGAGGCTACGTCCACACGTACACGGGTATTTTTGAAAACGGAGATTTTCCGTTTTCGTTTTAAAAAATAATCCCGTCCACACATAAAGGCAGAAATGAAGGAAAACGCTGCTATGAACATGCCAAAGCAGCAGGTGGCGCTAGATTCCTAACCGTGCCGAAATGTTGGCCAATCAGAAGTCTAGAAGCCTCGGTGGGAAAAAGTAAACAAAGCTGGGGCATAGAAGCAGAACCGAGTCGTATGTGTGGACGGACAGTAACTGTGTGTGTATATGTAAGCATTTAAACACTGCAGAGAGTAGAATTAACAGTATTGTAGAAATTCATTTCACCGAAACAATAACGTGGCGCACAGTGTGATGCATGCACCAGTTTATTGTATTTCCAGACTTGCTTTCAGCACAATTTACAGTGCACGCTACTCTGTTTTTTGTCAGACTTGAAATAGCCGAAATACCTTCACACTACGGAACTTCTATGGCTCTTCCGTTCGACAATCCCTCCAGCATTGGAACCATCATCTGTTTTCTCTTCGGTTGATTTTTCTAGTCGGCACACTCATTTCCTCCATTACCCGCTGGCTGCTTCCCAAACAAACACACGTGCGGCTTGGCACTTGTGCTGTACGTAACAAGTCACGCGACGTGACGCTGCGGCTGTTATTGGTTCGGCTCTGCGCTACTGAATTTGGATCGGCTGACCTTTTTTTTAATTTTTTTTTTTTTTTTTAAAGAGGACGAGCGGCGAGGTCTATCGCGATAGCTTAATTTCTCTATCGAGTAAAAGTTATATCGCGATACATATCGTTATCGTTCTATCGCCCAGCTCTACACTATTGTAAATATCAACACTTCGCTGAGTTCTTTTGATTCCTCAGAGGCATCCAATGGAAGACAAAACACTGCTCAATAGGCCATTTAACGCTTTATTACTTCTATAAGGGATATGCGTCCTGCATGACACGTTGCCACGGATCTCAAAATGGTGGTGTGCCCCTAACACTTTTATTACAGAAGCTTTCTCATTCTACAAGGTGGGCCATTTATATGGATACACCGTAATAACATGGGAATGGTTGGTGATATTAAAGTCCTGTTTGTGGCACATTAGTATGTGTGAGGGGGCAAACTCCTCAAGATGGGTGGTGACCATGGTGGCCATTTAGAAGTCGGCCATCATGGATACAACTTTTGTTTTTTCAATAGGAAGAGGGCCATGTGACACATCAAACTTATTGGTAATGTCACAAGAAAAACAATGGTGTGCTTGGTTTCAACGTAACTTTATTCTTTCATGAGTTATTTACAAGTTTCTCTTTGTTCACAGCCATTGACATGTCGAAGAGGTTAACACGTGAGGAGCGGATCAAAATTGTGTTGATATCTAGTGAACGCAGAAACCAGGTCATTGCAGCAGATTTCAATGCAAGACACCCTACGAGACCACCCGTCTCCCATGTTACAGTCAGCAAACTGATTGCTAAGTTTCGTGAAACTGGTTCAGTGTTGGATTTGCCAAAATGTGGACGCAAGAAAACTGTCACTAATGAAGAAACATCAGTGGCTGCCCTAGCTTCATTCAGCAAGAGCCCACAGCGTAGCACTCGCCGCATGTCACTGGAGAGTGGCATTAGTCGAACACCCCTTCGGCGGATATTAGCTACCCACAAATGGCACCCTTACAAACTCCAGCTACTGCAGCATGTCAACGAGGATGACCCAGATCGGCGCACAGAATTTGCAGAATGAGCAAAACAAAAATTGGAACATGACCCTCAGTTCACACAGAAGATTTTGTTCAGTGATGAGGCAAACTTTTATGTGAATGGTGAAGTTAACAAACAAAACGAACCCACATTGGATGGATCCCTCCAAGAACTGTTGGAACAACAAAAGTGATGGTTTGGTGTGGTATATGGGGTACAACGATAGTGGGTCCATTCTTCATCAATAGAAACCTCAAGGCCACTGGTTATTTGAATTTGCTACATGATGATGTGTTTCCCTCTTTGTGCACTGAAGCTGGCACGTTCCCTGAGTTTTTCCAGCAAGATGGTGCACCACCACTTTATGGGTGCCAGGTCCGTTCATTCCTAGATGAACAGTTTCCTGGAAAGTGGATTGGTCATCGTGGGCCAGTTGAATGGCCCCCAAGGTCTCCCGATCGGACCCCCTTAGACTTTTATCTTTGGGGTCATCTGAAGGCAATTGTCTATGGTGTGAAGATACAGCACCTGAAACTATGGATGCTGGATGCCTGTGCTGGCATTTCTCCTGCGGTGTTGCTATCAGTGTGTGAAGAGTGGGAGAAGAGGGTTGCATTGACCCCTCAC